AACTATAATTGAAAAATAAAAACTATTTTTAAAATGTTTCATGTTAAATAATCTCTAAGGCAGTCAATGCAGACTCTAAATATATATGCCTTAGTAAAGTATTGAAAGTACCAACATCTCCAGCAAAAGTTTCTTAATCATATTAAGAAAAATTATAGTTTATAAAATAATAATTTCCATAACTTGGATACACACATTGAAATACTCTAATACATGGATAGTTAATGCAGACTGAAATAACTTTAGGAATAGTTTTACAGCAGTCACAATTACAAAAATCTTGAAAAATAACTGCAGAGCCTAAACTGATTGGCTCAGTGGATAGAGCATCAGTCTGCAGATTCAAGGGTCCCAGGTTCGATTCCGGTCAAGGGCATGTACATTGGTTGTGGGCACATCCCCAGTGGGGGGTGTGCAGGAGGCAGCCGGTCAATATATCTCTCTCATTGATGTTTTTAGCTCTCTATCCCTCTCCCTTCCTCTCTGTGAAAAACCAATAAAATATATTTTTTTTAAAAAGAAAAATAACTGCAGAGGAAAAGGACAACTCCCAAGAATATATCTTTTATGACACACTATTAATTTTTACAACCAACATCTTATGTCAGTACTCCCAGGAATACCAGGAAAAATGAAGAAACTGTGGTTAAGAAACAGGCATTCTCACTTCCATCCAAAATTGCCATTTGCATGAAGGTGATGTTATATAATTGTATTCATCTTTGTTCAGAATCCTTGATTATATATCACAATGAAATATTAGTTGTATACTCACAGAATGCCTAGTTAAGAAGGATATTCTCTTGAGTGGATTTTAGTAATGAACTTAGTAGAGTTACACTCAAAATTCAGTGTGTGTGTGTGTGTGTGTGTGTGTGTGTGTGTGTGTGTGTATTGTATAGGACAGCTTCATTTGTAAAATGCCTCATTATGAAATTACCATGAAAAAATGAAAGATAGACATATAGTACATAAAAAGTTCTGTTTGGAATGCATTTATTTGTGTGTCATTCATTAAAAGGGGTTAGCTATTCTCTAGATTAATGCTATGCCATCATTACTGCCATGTATGGGTAAGATTTTCACAGTGATTTTCCATTTTTATTGATCTTTTGAATTAAATTGAGTTTTAGTTTCCAAGTGGATAAAACAATTTTCCAATATAATTAGTTTAACCCTGAGCAATCTTCTTTAAACACCTTCATATCCCAAGTGTTTATGCATTCACTCTCCTTTGATATGAGGAGCACATTGATTTAAAGTTTGAGAGATATTACATGGGAAAATCCTTAAACAGGATGACTTACAGAATTTATTTTAGAAAACAGAATCTTTAGGGGAATTTGCAAGAATAGGCTTAAATGTACTAGGTAGAACTGCTGTTTCCAGGAATTATTAGTGTCCTGTAGGGCCCATACTGTATTGAAAGTACTAACATCTCCAGCAATAGTGGCTCAGCCTCCCGAGTCACCCAAGCTGGACACTCTAGATGCACCCTGGTGTGGGCTGTGTACACAGTCTTGTTGTAGTTGAGCCTTAATTGCTGTTGGAATCACTAGGAGGAGTTGACCTCCATGCTAATTGGCTGGGAGGACCAGATGTGACTATAGTGGAAGAACAGCTGTGTAGGAGATACCCCTATGAAGCAGGACTTGCTTCAGTGGGGCTTTGGTGCTCATTGAGTTTACCCTTGGGTGTGTCACTTGTGGATGTGTAGAGTTGTAATCTTCTATGTCTGAAGCTGTATACCAGGTGCTCTGGGACCTCCTAGGGTATGAAAAGTCAGCCACTGCTTCAGGCCACCCTGAAGGAGCTACAGAGTAATCTGCAGATGGTTACTATTTGTATTGGGCTTAGAAGTATTCATGAGAGGACAAGCTGTGAAGCAAGGTAAGCTGCTGCTAGTACTTAGTTTTTGGCCTCTTATTGATGGGTATAGAGCATGCTAATGTCAGATGCTTCTTATTTGGGAGATTTTAGCAAAGTCTAAAGCCTGAGCCAGAATAAGCCATTCATATGGAAAAGCCACTGTAAACAGCTTGGGTGGGGTTGCAAATTGTCTAGGGCAGAGTCTCAGGGAATCACTAAAGCAGGGTGTAAGTGTTAACCAAGCTGATAGAAACTCAAATATGACTGTCAGTCAGTTCTGCATTGGGGGAAGTTCCAGCACAAGATCAGTGATCACTGTGAAGAGCCCTGCCTGGAAGAAAGTAACCCCCACATTCCTGCCCCAATGTCAGACAATCCAATTCCTCCCCATATATTTCCCTGGTTACCCCAATGCCACTGTCTAGTGCTGGAACTCAGAGGGAGCAGGACTGTGTACATTCAAGTGCCAGTCCTTTAAGAGGGACTGCCTGAGTCTAAAGCAGCTTCCATGTCATTCAGCCACAATCCCCACTGGATTTTATAGCCTGAAGTTACAGGGACTTCTCTTCCCAGTTCTGGAACCCTGGGCTGGAAGATCTGGTGTGGGACTGGGACCCTTGCTCCTCACTGAAGGCCTCTTCACTGGAGATATTTCTCCCTATTAAAAACACACCACAGATGGGTGTCATACCAGCCTGTTCTGCATCTCTGCCCCTCCTGCCAGTCTCAATGTATTTTCTTTATTTCTCTAGTTGAAGAACTTCCATTCAGCCAAATTTCAGGAAGTTCTGAATTATGGTTGTTTTGTTTTTCAGTTGTAATTTTTATATGGTTATGGGAGGCAACAAGCATTGGTATTTAACCTATGTTCCTATCTTGTTTCCTTCCCTGAATGATTTTAAACAAAACAATATATAAATTCCTTGCCCCAGCTTCCAAAATCTCTTACCTAGTTGTTGAAGCTTAAAATTAATTCTATACAAGAAAATGATGTCTTTCAACCCATAATTATCCATAATGCTTAAAGTGTACATAAACTTGAAAATGATAGCACATTATATCATTCCCAACAAATATACAAGTAATTGTGTATATACATAGTCTAAACTTACTCTTTGTGTGCTCTATAAATGGAACAATGAAGCCTGGATCATGGTACACCTGTTTACATCATTGTTTACTAATATTTGAAGCCTACTGTTAAGACCTAGTGCTCAGAAAAAAGATCCCTTTCAAAATATTACTGTTTATGGACAATTCATCTGGTCACTCAAGAACTCTGATGGAAAAAATAGTGAGATTTAATGTTGTATTCATATCTGTTAATATAACATCCATTCTCAAGTGCATTGATCAAATAGTGATTTGAACTTTCAAATCTGCTTTTTTTTAAAGAAATATATTTTGTTAAATCAAAACTATAACTAAACTAAGAACAATCATCATTCAGACCTGCCTAAAATCTGGCTGAATGGAACTCCTACAACTAGGAAATTAAAAAAGAAGCCACATAAAGTCTGGTTGGAGGGACAGAAACCATGAGTGGGCTGGTCACACATCCACATGTAGCAGATAAAAACCAGGAGGGATATCTCCGACAGAAAGGTGCCCCTGAGTGAGGGGTCCCAGTCCCAAAACAGACCTCCAAGCCAGGGTTCCAGTGTCAGGAAGAGAATTCCCCATAATATCTGGCTGTAAAAACAAGCACTGGGTGAGCCTGAGGAAGATGGAGAGCTGCTGGAGTCCTAGGCAGTTCTTCTTAAAAAGCCAGTTCACAGATTTTCTGGTATTCACTCCCTCTGTGCTCCATCTCTGGGCCAACAGATGTAAAGGCATAGGTGGAGGAATTGAATTTCCAGCATCAGGACAAGAGCTTGGGAAGTGGGGGTGGAATGGGCTTTCTCCCAGACAGAAGTGCTGGCAGAGGCCATTGATCAGCCCTCCCTACACAGAGCCCACAGGCAGGTGCCATATCTGAGACTCTATTAACCTGACTCACACTGTTTTCTCTACCCTGGTGATTTCCTGAGGCTCAACTGCACCCAACTTTTGGGCCCACCCAAGTTGTTTTCAATGGCTTTTCCATATAAATGGCATGATGATTCATGTTTTAGATTTTTCTAAAAATCTCTCAAGCAAGTAGCATCTGGCCTCATCCTGCCTTGTACCTCTCAAAAGGCCCCAGGCACAGCACAAATAGCAGTCATCTGCATCACTTTACAGCTTAAGTCTGGTGGCCCCAAGAGAATCCAAGAGAGGGCTACACCAAAACTCTGGCAAGGTTAAAGACAAAAAGATCATCCTAAAGGCAGGGAGGAAAAAACAGTTACCTATAAGGGAGCTCCATAGACTGTGAGCTGATGGTTGCCAGATGGGAGGAACATTTGGGGGGAAGGATGAGAAAGGTGAAGGGATTAAGAAGTTCAAATTGGTAGCTGCGGAATAGTCATGAGGATATAAAATACAGCATAGGGAATATAGTCAATAATATAATTTTCTAATAACTGTGCATGATGTCAGATGAGTGTGAGATTTATTGGTATCATCACTCAGTAAGTTAAGTAATGTCTAATGATTGGGGTATACACCAAAAAGTATTATAGTAATCTACATCAACTGTAATTGAAAAATAAAGACATTATTAAAAAAATAATAATTTTATATATATATATATATATATATATATATCATTCATCCATTTTGTTGCATGAATAAATAGTTCTTTTACTGTTGAGTAATACCCCATTGTGAAATGTACCACAATTTTTTTTTTTATCCATGCCCTAGCTGAAGGACATTTGGCTTATTTCCAGTTTGGTGTAGTTATAAATAAAACTGCTAACCCTAGCTGGTTTGACTCAGTGGATAGAGTGAGAGCCTGCAGATTGAAGGGTCCCAGGTTCAATTCTGGTCAAGGGCACATGCCCAGGCTGCTGGCTCCATCCCCACTAGGGGTCGTGCAGGAGGCAGCCAATCAATGATTCTCTCTCATCATTGATGTTTCTCTCTCTCTCCCTCTCACTTCCTCTTTGAAATCAATAAAAATATAATTTATAAATAAAAATAAAACTGCTGGGTGGCCAGACTAAGAGGAGGTGGTAGGACAACCACGGCCCTCAATCTCAACCACCATGAGCACCAAACAGGTCACTTGCAGGTATTTTATGCATGGTATGTGTCGGGAAGGAAACCAATGCCTGTTCTCACATGACTTGGCAAACAGCAAGCCATCCACCATCTGCAACTACTATCAGAAGGGCGACTGTGCCTATGGAACTCGTTGCAGATATGATCACACAAGGCCCTCTGCTGCAGCTGGTGGTGCTGTGGGCTCCATGCCCCACAGTGTGCCCTTCCCGGGCTTCCACAGTCCTCACCCTCCTTCCGACCTCACTGCGCCTATTGTGAAAACTAACTTACAGGAGCCTGGGAAACATGAGAAAAGAACATTGGTACTTAGAGACCGAAATCTCTGTGGCATGGATGAAGAAAAGGCTTGCCCAAGTGTGGTGAATAATCCAGGAGGCAGTGACGCCCAGAATAGCCCAGAGATGAGGCCGAATTCCTATCTTGATGCAATATGGAGTGGCCTTGATTACTTAGAAGCCAACAGCTCCTACAGCAGAGAGGAGCAGCTGTGCCCCTATGCAGCCGCCGGGGAGTGCGCTTTGGGGATGCCTTGTCTACCTGCATGGGGAAATGTGTGAAATCTGCAGGCTCCAAGTCCTGCATCCCTTCGACCCAGGGCAGAGGAAAGCTCATGAGCAGATCTGCATGTCAACATTTGAACACAAGATGGAAAAGGCCTTCGCCTTCCAGGCAAGCCAGGACAAAGTGTGCAGTGTCTGCATAGAAGTGATCCTTGAGAAGGCGTCTGCCTCTGAGAGGAGATTTGGGATTCTCTCCAACTGCAATCACACGTACTGCTTGTCCTGCATCCTACAGTGGAGGTGCGCCAAGCAGTTTGAGAACACAATCATTAAGTCTTGTCCAAAATGCCAGGTGATATCAGAGTTTGTAATTCCAATTATATATTGGGTAGAAAATCAGAATAAAAAGAACGAGTTGATTGAAGCTTTCAAACAAGGAATGGGGGGGGGGAGTGTGTAAGTACTTTGATCAAGGCAAAGGGACCTGCCCATTTGGAAACAAATATCTTTACCGCCACGCTTATCCGGATGGGCGGCCTGAGAAACCTCGGAAACAGCTCAGTTCAGAAGGCACCGTGAGGTTCTTCAATTCAGTGTGCCTCTGGGATTTCATTGAGAACCAAGAAAGCCAGCATGTCCCCGGCACTGAAAATGTTGATATGACAGAGCTCGGGGACCTCTTCATGCACCTGTCTGAGTGGAGTTGTCAGAACCCTGAAGATAGATGGTTGCCCCTGCATCTTGGGCTCCGCCAGCAGAGCCTTTCCCAAGTAGGGTATGCAGAGCTTCCTTAGGTGGTGTGTGGCTTGGATTTGAGTGGGGTTGTTTTAACCTGGGCTCTCATCCATTCTCCATTATTACAGCCATGAGAAGAGTGAAGGATGTAAAGTTAACAAGTATATGGAATCACTACTTTATAGCTGATATCTTAGTTGCACCTCAAGTTCCTTGGGGGGTGGGAAGGATGGGAGACTAGCTAAACAGTCAGATGGAGTTTTGATTGATTGCTTTTAAAACAAACTTGGCTCCTATCCTTCATGAGCTTTAGCTCCCTAGAAACTAGTCAACTTGCGGTTGTCCCTAAAGCAGATTTCTTTTTCTTACCAAAGGATTCTTCATCCCTAAAAATGATTCCTTATAGTGAATTTCCATAAGACTTCGTGTGTGGTCAAAACCTGATATATACAGGGCTTTTCCAGAAACAAAAAATGGGCACTGCACGCCTTAGTGCTCCAAATGAGAGCAGGAGTCTCACTGCTATATAGTCAGTAAGCGAACTATAAACCTTCTTCCTTGTAAGGGGGCCTCTTAAAGTAGCAGGAAGTGTGAGGTGGTAGATCAGGAGTATAGCCCTTCATTTCTGGTTAGTGTTGTAGCCACAATTGGAGGAAACCTTACACATGTGCCTCCAGGGAAACATGGCCCTAGCTCTCCCTTGTGGGCATGGTACACACGTGCTCTTGTATGTGACTGCTGCCCAACCTATCTAGTCTTACTTGTAAAAAAAACTGGTCCAGACCCATCAGTGGTCCTAAGCATGTCTTTTTATCATTGTGATTTTAATGGAAGGAGCATAATGTTGTGAATCAGAACAAACTCACTCTAAGCCTGAATTTACCTATTTTTATAAAAGTTATAGATATCAAATATTTTGTAAAATGCATTTCAGTGTGGGTAGAAAAAAAAAGGTCTATTCTTACCTGAGTTTAGAGTGCTTCATGCATAATTTTTATAGTTAACTCTTTAGTGAAGGGTGACAACACAGGCAAAGGCTGAAATAAATTCATTCCTAGCAGAGAAAAAAATAAATAAAACTGCTATAAAACATTCACATACAAGTCATTGTATGAACACAGGTTTTCATTTTCCCAAAAAATTTGAGAGTAGATGTGCTGAGATATTAGGTAAGTGTATTCATAATTTTATAAGAAACTGTCAAACTGTTTTCCAAAGGGCTAAACCATTTTTCATTTCACCAGCAAAGTATAAGAATTACAATTGCTCTAAATCCTCACCAACATTTGGTATTATTGTTGAGATTCTGTATTTTTAATAAAAATATTCATGACTTCAAAAAGGAAAGAAATCAATTTCATAATGCTATAGTTGCCACAGATAGTGATTCATTTAATGGACCTAGGCAAACTGAATTGAAAATCTTCTGGAAAGGATACACCATTATAGATGCCGGTAAGAATATTTGTAATTCGAATTACAAATTTTCTTAACGGCATCTATAATGGTGTATCAACTCTGAGGTGTTCAAGACTTCAGTGGAGGAAGTAATTGTAGATGTAGTAGAAATGTTCAGAGAACTAGAATTAGAAGTGGAGTCTGAAGAGGTGACTGAATTATTGCAATCTCATGATAAAACTTTAATAGATGAGGAGTTGCTTTTTATGAATGAGTTAAGAAAACTGTTTCTTAAGATGTACTCTAATCTTGGAGAATATACTGTGAATATTATTGAAATGACAACAAAATTTTTAGAATATTACATAAATTTAGTTGAGAAAGTAGTGACAAGATTAGGGAGAGATAACTGCGATTATGAAAGAAGTTCAACTATGGGAAAAATGCTATCAAAAAAGCATTACAAAATACAGAGGATTATTTGTGAAAGGAAGAGTCAAATGATGCGGCAAACTTCATATTTTAAGAAATTGCCTCAGCCACCCCTACTTTCAGCAATCACAACCCTAATCAGTCAGCAGCCCTCAACATTGAGGCAAGACCAACAAGAACATTGAGTAATTGAAGGCTCAGATAATGATTAGCATTTTTTAAACAATAATGTATTTTAAATTAAAGGATCCACATTGTATTTTAGACATATGTTTTTGCACACTTAATAGACTGCACTATAGTGTGAACATAAGTTTTATATGCACTAGGGGGGAAAAAACAAATAATTCAATGTTGAGGGCTGCTGACTGATATATTGCAGTGGTCTGGAATCAAACCCACAATATTTTTCAGGTACATCTGTACTCACATGTTCCATTAAGGGTAATGTAAAAGCATGTCTGATTAGGAGATGTGGAAAGTAACAACTAAAATTAAATTTAATGCTAAACATCTCTAATTTTCTATAGACAATATGTCTTCTGAAGTCATAAGAAAATAGACTTTGGAAAACACTAATATAATAATTCCTGTTACTGTAGCCATGGGAGCAACCTAAGTGTTTATCTATGGATAAGTGGAAAAAGAAAATGTGATATATATGTAGGTAGGTAGATGATATATAAATAGACTATAGATTATATATATATATATATATATATATATATATATATGATAGATGATAGATAGATAGATAGATAGATAGATATCATTCATCTGTAAAAAAAAAGGGGGGGGGGGGAAATGATCCATAAAAAAAGAATTTATAACAACATGGATGAAACTTGAGGGCATTAGGCTAAGTGAAATAAGTCAGAGAGAGAAAGATAAATACCATGTGATCTAACTTATATGTATAATCTTTAAAAAGTATAAAATAAAATAAAATAAAACTTATAGATACAGAGAATAGGTTGATAGTTGCCAAAGGCAGGAAGTGAAGAGGTGTATGAAATAAGTTAAGATGGTCAAAAGGTACAAACTTTCCAATTATAAAATAAGTAAATCATGAGGATATAATGTACAGAATGATCATTATCCTATCTAATAAAAGAGTAAAATGAAAATTGTCCATCACTCCAACACACAAGTTAGCCACCCCCATGTTGTCAAGATGGATGCCGCCATGTGAACAAAAGATGGACGCCACAAGAACCAGAAGAGAACAGTTGTGGATGATCAGGCCTGCAGGGGAGGCAGTTTGGAGGAACCACGCCTGCAGGGGAGGCAGTTAGGAGTGACTGGGCCAGAAGAGGAGGGCAGTTGTGGAGGAACCAGGCCTTCAGGGAAAGACAGTTGGGGGCAACAAGGCCTGCAAGGGAGGACAGTTGGGGGTGACCAGACCTGCATGAGAGGGCAGTTGTGGGTGACCAGGCTGGCAAGGGAGGATAGTTGGGGATGATCGGGCCAGTAGGGAAGGACAGTTAGGGTCAACCAGGCCTGTGGGGGAGGACAGTAAGGGGTGACCAAGTTATCAGGGGAAGGCATTTAGGGTTGACCAGTCTGGAAGAGGAGGCCACTTAGGGGCAATTGGGCCAGCAGTGGAGCACTTAGACATCAATCAGGCAGGCAGAGGAGTGGTTAGGAGTGATCAGGCTGGCAGGCAGAAGTGGTTAGGGGAAATCAGGAAGGCAGGTAAGTGAGTGGTTGGGAGCCAGCAGTCCTGGATTGTGAGAGATATGTTCAACTGCCCATTTAGGCCCAATCCCACCAGTATCTGGCCTAAATGGGCAGTCAAACATCCTTCGAGGGGTCCCAGATTGGAGAGGGTGCAGGCTGGGCTGAGGGACACCCACCTCCCATGCATGAATTTTGTGCACCAGGCCTCTAGTAGTTAATAACACTGTACTATGTATTTGAAAGTTGCTAAGAGAGTGATCTTAAAAGTTCTTATCACAAGAAAAATATTGTAACAATCTGTGATAGATGTTAACTAGACTTACAGTGATGGTCATTTCACAATATCTACATATGTCATTATGTTGTACACGTAAAACTAATATAATGCTATATGTGTGAAATTAACAATCAAACCTCATTTCTTGAATGTCTCCTATCTTGGACAATTCAGTTCTTGACAAAGTTGTTCATGGAAATAAATGTCTCATCTCAATTTTCAAACAAAACTTCAGTTCTTGACTACAACAACCTTTTCATGCTGATAGCTGTATGATCAGTCACATGTCTCTTAAGCCACAAAGGAGAGAATGCACAAGTATAAGTCAGTTTACTGCTAAACTTCAAGTTGTTAATTGAAAATTGTGCTATCAATATTTTCTTTTTGCTTTTGTTGCTGCTTATTATCATTAAGGACATATAATAAGTCATCATAGGTCCTAGAAGGTTAGTGATAGCAGCAAAATGAAAAGGAAAGTTGTGAGAACAATGATAGGGCATTAATAAAAAAAAAAATTATAAACTATATAAGAGGT